GGGGGGAATTAGTGCAAAGAAACATGAACAGCAAAAGGGATTGACAGAAACAACAGAGAAAAGGTTTTTTTAAAAAGATGTCATAGCAAAGTGGTAAGTAGTAGATATCTAGCAGTAAAGAAGAAGCAGACGATGAACGTGCCTGCAAATTCTGCCACTGACGATTGGTTAATCTCCTTGTTGTACTGCGCCCATGTTGACCAGATTGGGTACTTGATGACCTCCGGGTTGGGAATCCCTTCTGGCTTGGGGATGAACCTTTGCCGCATATAGCTGTGGATCTCCTTCACATTCCCAGCTTTGCACACCGTGTACTCTGTGGATGGGTGGGTGGCGGTGGGTGTGAATGAGTGAAAGTCAATGTGCTTTTAGTTTTAGTTTTAGTAGAGGTTTTACGGCGCTCGCAACTGCTTAAGGTCATATTATATTATGAGCGCCAGAAGATAAGAGGTGTTACAAGAGAGTAACAAACATAAAAAAGAAGAAGGTGAGATAAGGACGATAGATGTTTCTAAGGAAAGAGGAAGCAAACCACACCAGAGCACCGTCAACCGCCCATCTTTGTATTTTATATCATTCAGTCAAATTTGTCCAACACAACCCAATCACTGTCTTGGAGACAAGTGGTTGTCTTAGACAGGTGGACGTTTTGGACAGTGGCGTTCTTATAATTTGGAAAATGCAAGGGCGGAAATGGTCTTCTGTACAGGTGATTATCTTGGACACCTGATCGTAAGAGCAGATTTGACCATACATATACAGATAATAATATATCTCCACAAGCTTCGAAAAGGATATAGGTTGTGCACGTTCACCCCCTAGTTCTCATTGTCTATAATTACCTTTTTCTATCATTCTCATGCTCCACTTAGTTCTTTTAGAGCTGAGCGAAGAATTGATTCCGAAACCGATACCCACGGTTAGTGCTACGGGATAAAATTCCGATTCCTTTTTACGTAAAGCAACGATTACCAATTACCTTTCCTTTTTACGTAAAGCAACGATTACCAATTACCTTTCCTTTTTACGTAAAGCAACGATTACCAAACACCTTTCCATTTTACGTAAAGCAACGATTATCGATTATTTGTTAAAAAATGAAATTGGAGAAATGAGACAACTGACC